CCCCCTCGTCTCCTGGTCCCAATGTTGTTGCCATACTTTGTTGATATTTTTCCTGATGATGCCCTTTCCCTCTGCTTTGGATAACTTGATACATACGTCTACTTTGTTTTCCTTTAGTGCTTGTTTGGCTAGTTTGTCCACTTTTCATTTCCTCTGATACCTACATGGGCCGGTATCCATATAAATATAACTTTAGTGCCTCGTTCTATTGCTCTAGAGTGATTTGACAAGAGAGCCAGGCTGCCAACTGAGGAGGATCTTTAAGGCAGAGCCACACCGGCTCAGGTGTGGCTCATTCAACTGACGACCCTCCAATCAGCACCTGCAACACATCAGCAACCACACAGGGACACTTGGTATATGGGAGGAGGGTCGTCGCACTATATTTTGAGGATTGTGGAAGATGTCATGGAGAGTTAATTGGGCAAATATGTGAGCTGATGAATACGGACATCGATGAGGTTGTGTTGCCCAATCTTAAAGAGGGAAGTGCATTGCCCCAAGATCGGTAAAAATGGAAAGATATTCACAGATTCAAACTTTTTCGGATCAATAACTCATAAGTGAAAAGTGGTTGAAAGACAAACAGCGCCTCTTTGCAACCGTCGTAAGGTAGTGTCACCAAATTTCCCCCCAACAGATATTCTGCGATAGCTGATGGTCCACAGTAGGCCTAGAACAGGACACACTACATGACACGCCCCTCGGAAAGGTTGCAGTTCACTTAGATTTAGGCCCCAAAACTACTTTGTTAGGTTTAGGCACAAACACAGGTTAGGGTTCGTAAAACATCATGGTTTGGGCTAAGATAGGTATGTGAATCCTGGAAGTGATTTCAGGGGGCGTGTCAGGTAGTAAAGTGGGCGTGTTGTGTAGCCTGTATGACTGCAGATAGATCCTTCTCAAAGAATCAATTCATGTGTGCAGGAAATGACTACTCAGCCTGGGCAGGAAAGCCCGTCCAAATCCAGTTGATTGACAGGTTGGCCCCTTTAAAGGAATAGCAAAAGCAATAAGGAAAAATACTGGGGTTAAATAAATAAATGAAATTATACACCAATCAATAGATAAACAAATAAAAACAATATACAGAAAAAACGTGTGATTGTATATGCTAAAATAAATAAATAAATATTTAAAAAATCTAAGAACTAAAAATGTAAGTTCATTGTTTTGGTTTTAATCAATCCCTATGGGCAGCTTTTTCCATTTGCTGGTGAATAAAGGAAGCATCTATAGCAGACTAAACAAACCGATATTTTTCTAAGGAGTCGGTCATCTACACCAGGGGTCACCAACCTTTTTGAAACTATTTCAAGGGTACTGAGTAGTACGAAGGGCTACTTGTTTGATACAAACTTCCTGAATAACAAAGTTGCACAGATCACCTTTTAATAATAATAATAATATGTGTGTAGACACTGTCTGATCACATGTCAATGTTAATTATTCCTCACAATAATTATTAACAATGATTTCCACAACAATGATGGTAGGAAACACATATATTTTAACATTTATTTCTGTTATTCTGTTTCAATATTTGAAAGTCACATCTCTGATATTTTAGTAAATATCTTTCGTGACAGTTTTGTATGAATAAGCACATTTGTAGCATTTAGTTCAAAGTCACACCTGTTATATTTTTGTAAAAATTATCCTTCTAACATTTTTTATGAAATCATTAACTGTCATATCTTCACATCATATCTCGTTGGTACTAACCACCACTTTTGTAACATTTTTGAACAAATCATGAACAACAAATCAACTCCCATGTTTATACAAATCATCAGTTATGAATATCCTGTGTTGTTTGGCTTTGGAGCGGATGACATTTATGATCTTCAGACAGGAGTCATCACATCATCAAAGCCGGTTACTTTTAACGGGAAGCGCCCGCCTTTCGGAACCTGAAAACCTAGTGCGGTACGGCAGCCTCTTCCTGGCTGTCCGCCGTGCGCCTCTGGGTACCCAACTCTCTTATGACAAGAAATATTGTAATTTTAAAATCTACAATAATGCAAGCGTTTTTGATTAAAAATGAACAGCAACTAAAATATTTGGACGGAGCTCCATGGTGACTAGTGCTATTTTTAGAACATGCCTTGCGGGCGACTCACCTGGTCCCTGCGGGCGACCAGGTGCCCGCGGGCACCGTGTTGGCTACCTCTGGTCTAGACTCTAGACCTTTTGGTCACAGATCTCCATCCTGGTGAAGACAGCTCATAAACGGTATTTCTTAAGGAAAAGAATGCAAAATTCCAGGGCCAAGTTCTTGTTAACTTTTACAGAGGAGCAATAGAAAGCATCCTGACAGGAAACATTACAAGCTGGCATGGAATGTGCACGGCCCAGGACAGGAGGCTCTACAGCAGGTGAGCATCAGAACATCATCTACTGAGCATCAGTGATATTGGTGAGAAGAGGAGCCTGTGAAGAACTCAAAGGATATTTAAAGACGACACCCACCCAGCCACCTGTCCAACCTGCTGCCATCTGGCAAGAGATACAGAAGTGTCAACTGTCATACCAACAGACTTCAGAACAGCTTCTTTCCTCAGGCTGTGGGACTCCTTAATTCATCTTCCACCGTCCACATAGTTTTTTGTTTTTGTGTTTTGTGTAGCAAAATGGGACTGTAATCTGCATTTTGTTGTGCAGCGTGGTTGTAGAATAATAAATTAACCTATTTAATTATTCCCCATTTAATCTAAATGGGGAATGAATATATGACTTCTATTCATCAGGTGGTCAAAAATACTGCCTGTTAAAGGTACCAGTATGCTTCAACCTAAGTCGATTAGGAATTAGAGTAGAGAATTAACTTTCCGAGGCTGACGATCATTCACACCCACTTCAAACGGCGATGGGCCAGGTGTGTAGAGGTGTACAAATTCAGGGTTTAACTTCTCTCACTAGTTCTTTTTCATTCTTGACAAGATTACTTGAGTCTCTTTTTGTGTGTGCAAATATTTATTGAATCTCATTCCTTTTGTTGATGGCTGGCTTCTCCCCCCCCCAACCTTTGAGTGTACATTTACAACATTTGTCTTTGGGACGTGATCGAACTAGTTTGTTTCAAGCTTGTACCCCAGCATCAATGTTGTTCTGCTGGATGGTAAAGTATAGGCAACTGTTTGCCAAAGCTGCCATAACCACTTTGTAAGTCACAGATATGTGTTGGCTGTGTATCTGTTCGTTTTGATAGTTCTTTTTTGTTATAGTTTAAATTTAATATAGTGGTCAAAAATAGATTACGGCAGTTATTATAGTGTTGGCCCTAAAGATAATGGAAATACCAAATACGACAGGCAGATTTTGAAAGGAACAAATGCACACTTTGAGCAAGGAGAACAATATCAGATGACATTAAAAAATCGACAGGAAATATGCACATATTCACAAAACTGTCCACAATGTGGACGTTGCCACATCTAGAAGAGGGGTCACTAATAGGCAGTCTGGGTCCGGACCCAGACACTGTTGTATCTGGACCCTGGACCAACAACCGATATTGAGAATTATTCAATTTCAACGGAGCACCTCTATTTTAACCGGCGCAGCTTTTCTAGCCTTTACGGCACTTCTTCAGTGTATATCCTCTCACGTGATGCTACTCGGCCAATCAAATATGTGTATTCCGATAATTACCGCCCTCAAATCGTGAGATAAACACACACACAGGTAGAGAGACCCAACAGTTGGAGAGAACGTGAGTCAGAGAAGTTACTTCACTTGGCAATCTCCAAAAAGAGAAAAGTGGGCAACAAGACCAGTCTTTCAAGAATGGACAGACTCTTATACGTTAATTCTTAACTTGGGCAGTTTAAAACCAGTGCGTCTCATATGTTCAGAGACCGTGGCGATAATTAAAAGCAGTAAGCGTCACTACGAGACAAAGATCACAACTTTTGAGCAAACGTACCCACTCACATCTGAAATGAAGGCACAGACAATAAACCTAAGAGCCCAATATGATCGGAATCCTAACACTGTCCAACAATGATGTGAACAGAGAGGGGAATGAGGCTGAAACAAATGGTTTCAACAAACAGATATAATGTTGGACCCTAAACACAAATTTCTCTTTTTAGAAGATGAGAAGAATATAATATCGTGGTTTTCTTGGTTGACATCACTGCACACCTGAATGAACTGAATTTAAATCTGCAGGGCAAAGATAATTCAGTTCAGTTATTTTTTTCTAAAATGAAGTACTTTATTTTAAGATACACATTTAATTTTTTAATCTAGTCCTTAATTTACTTGAAATGAGATGTGAACATTTATTTATAACTAGATTATGTATTCTTTATAATTCATACCATTCAATTTGAAATCTGACGATACATATTGTTTAGATATTATTCAATTGAACTTTCTTTATTTGTTAGTTGTTGACTACATACAGACATTAATACAACTGTTAGGCTACTTCATTATACAGTATATTGATTAAATCATAGTGCGAGTTAGACATTATTGTGCTGTTCCAGACCTTTGCATGAGGAAATTCTCTCCAACTTGACCTTGTTGAATTTGAATTGACTAACCCTGATCTAGAAGGAACACATCACTATTGTAGTTGTTGAACTATCAAATCAGTTTACCCTCAGCATTCCTCAGAGAACCTCTTGCATTCATTCACCAGACTAATATTGGATCTCTCCATAGTGTGTTGGTCCAATTTCACCCCATCACTAAACTGTTCACTGCTCCCCGACGATGCCGAGAGACGATGTGGTCCCGTTTGCTCTCAAATCAGAATTATTTCGCAAAGACTGCATATCTGCAAGATGAAAGTCCCATTTGAACTGATTTAAAATACATTAAAAAAGCAATAGTGCCAATTCGTGTCTGTTCTGAGTATTTCCCTCTACAGTGACAAGTTTCAGGATCAAGAGGAGAACTCGGATAGAAAGAGAGATCAGTTGTCACATCATGCGATGTCCTAATCACGCCACATGGGTGGCAGGAAAAGCAGTCAGTGCTGTGGCGTGGTGGGTATCCAGCAGCTTCGTGCGGCATGGACAGCGATGATGAAAATACAGAAGAGGTCGTGGAAGGTAAGAAACATATTCCTTTTATTGTGTTCCGCTGTAAACGACGAATTGGTCAATGCACGGGGATTCTCGGTTGATTTGAGATTCGGAGTTTTCCGTAAATCTCAAAGAGTCAATCTGCTGCTGGGCCCGCCGGGTAACCTCAGAGCGCCGGGGACTTTCTTTATGCAGGGAATCCGCTTGACGGGGTAGTCCGGGCGGCCCGGGTAATACTAGTGTCCCGCTGCTGGCTCCATTTGAACCAGGCACGAGATGGAAACACGATAGGTTACATGTGAGTCTCCCCAGTCTTCTCCACATGTTGAGGAGCTGTGCAGTTTTCTTTCTTTGAATCTCTTGTGCCGACGTGAGCGGTCAGAATGCGATTTATTTCACAGAAATGGAGTTGTTTAAGTTCGAAGAAGTGGATGAATGAAAAGTGCGTTACGTGACACTATGTGACATACACTTGTTTTATGAAAACTAAATGCAAAAGTGGACAATGGTCACCAAATGTTGGCCTCTCTTTGCTATTCGCACCTCGTGGAACATTAGCACTTATAAATTGTTAGGGTCTACTAGTAAATTGTGACCACTAATATATCAATAGTTTCTATGAAAGACAACACTTGATTAACAAAAGTCATGGTATGCCTCACCGGGAGAGATATCGATAGTGGCCACAAGACTTTACAATAATGACAGATAATGGGCAGATTTCACAAAGTCTCAAACTACTGCTATTTCAGGGGTTTCTTTCTATTATGTCTACAGTTTATGTAGCCCATCATGTTCTATGTATTTTTTTCATGTCTAATCGGCATGACTAATCAGAGGGTTCTAAAAATATATTTGTAGAAATGCTAAGATGCGGGAAGCTTGAGAGTATTTTGCACTTTGTTTTACCTTTTTTATTTTATCACCTTTCAATTCCTGAAAAATGCTGCACATAGTGAAGATGGACCCTTTTAGAAAATTCCCTGGACCATGCAGATACCCTCATATCTCATCAAAGTGACATAGAGGCATCTAAGCACCTCTTATGAAACATTTACATGCTTTACTTGATAGTTTGTTTCCGTCCAAAGTAAATTCAAAATGCCCAACATACTTTCTGTGATACCTTTGGATTTCAAGATACTGATGAGTTGCCAACTTAATTTCGTTGTATGTATTTACAATGACAATAAACATCCTTATCCTTATCCTTCAGTTATTATTTGCACAGACTTCATCTTAAGTTGAGCTCATGACTGCATTACCATACAAAACAGCCACTACATGACACTTTCTTTTCAGTTTCATTGAAGAATTAGAGTTGAAGGCCAGACCTATTTAGTGATAAATCATGGAGCTAGAGGTAGAGTTTGGGTCAAAGGCTACTGAGGGAGATCCGTGTGTGCGTGCGTGTGTGTGTGTGTGTGCGTGTGTGTGTGTGTAGGTCCATTGGATGAAGATGATCAGCCCCATGGGTTCTGCACAGTAACCTATTCATCTAGTGATCGTTTTGAAGGACACTTTATTCACGGAGAGAAGAATGGCAAGGGAAAGTTCTTCTTCTTTGATGGAAGGTACTGCAAAGATAAGGCCCTAATACTCGTATGTATTCCATTGTAATAGTATACAATCAGCAATATGTGTAATATTTTATTACAGTTAGGCACACATTTATAAGCAGTAACGTATTATCAGCACTGTGTGTATTTACATGCACACTAATAATTCCATTCTGACCATACTTGCCTTCAGGTGATTTGCTTTAGTTATACTAATTTCAGCGCTCTTTCTTCTGTCTATTCATAGTGCACTGGAGGGTTTCTATGTAGATGATGCTCTGCAGGGCCGGGGGCTGTATACAGATGAAGATGGAGCTGTCCTCCATGGGACCTATGTGGATGGAGAGCTCAATGGACCCGCTCAGGAGTGCAATGCAGAGGGCCGTCTGGTGTTCAAGGGCCAGTACAAAGACAACAACCGCTGTGGGGAATGCTGGATCTACTACCCTGTGAGTCAGCTCAGTGCTCACTGCAACACAGTGGCACTGGTTGCATGTATGGAGAATTCACTTGGTTACATGACTTCAAGCCCTTCTGAGGCCCTAATCAGAATATATATATTTTATCTATATGCCACTGAATGTTCTCTAAAGCCTTGTTTAAGACATAGGCAGAAATATGATACACTTCATGTAGTAGAAGAAAGTAAATGTTTACTGTCTGTTAACTGTGTGTATTGTGCATGTTGGTGTGTACTGTGGTGCATCTAGGATGGAGGCTGTGTGTTTGGGAAGGTGAATGAGGACGGGGAGATGACTGGTGACTCCGTAGGGTACATCTACCCTGGCGGGCACACGGCTCTCTGTGGAAGCTTTGTGGATGGAGACATCATTGAGGCTCGCCTTGCCACCATGATCACCACCGAGAGTGGAAGGCCACGCTTCGAAATCACACCGAACAGTAAGGAGTTAAGATCTGTTACCACTCATCTGTGTTATGTACACAACTGCTATTTATAGGTAGGCACTGATGCGACATGTCTTTTGAAAGCTAAGATTATTGTGATTCGATTTATGCAAACCATTTCAAGATACAGTCACAACAGCAGGTACAATCAACGTCTCTGTCAGACCACCAACCCACAAACAAACATTTGCAAAATCAAGGCAACTCACCGATGAAGCTTGATAGTATTCCACCCCTCGATAATATTCCAACAAAAACAGTCTTGTTACATTGCCAAAGGTGCAGACGATCCAATCCAGTAAAATATTTAGTCCAAAACACATTATTACGTCCATAAATACCCACGGACTGATGTTGCATCATTTCAAATTAGCCGGCAGATATGCCTATCTATGTATTTTCGAACGTAACTTCAGTTCGCATGTAAACACTGACGCTCTCTGTGTCTCAAAATGGCGGCTGCACTCTGACCTTTAGATTGACACCTCATTTGACCCAATAGGAGCTTCCATGTCCTGTCTACAGCCTAGAATAGCCAATGAGAGTCCGCGTTGAAGGAAAGTGCCTGCCCCTCTTCTTTCGTGTAAAGCTCGAGCCAATTGCAACCGATCGTTCTGATGACTGACGCTTCGTATAGCCAATGAAATTTTGACAATAATGATATGCAGCTTCAGGGGTTAGATTTAGAGGCAGAACGTGGAAGTCACTGTTGAAACCGCGAGTCAGGTCCCTGTGTCCGAGCGGTAAATTCAAAGTGTGGTTTTTGAGAGTTTTGGAGAATTTAGGAAAGTAAATAATGGTGAAATAACTTATAAATTACTGTATTTAGACATAAATAAGCTTTAGTTTGAATTATGAATACACAGCCTATGTATGTTACTATGGTTACCATCGGTCCCCAAATGTCCTTTTTTGGAATGCGCCTAGACATACCCTTAGTAAAACATGTGTAAATTAAAGCTGCAAGCAGCGATGTACGGGCCCTCGCACCTTCCCGCGTCTTGGGGGTACTGGCGGGACGCTGGCAGACGCGGCCGCAAATGTCTTTGACCATCAGACAACGCATCTCGGAGTTCAACGTATTTTTCCAGCATGGACTGTGTGACGCTGGAAATTATATAGTGCAAATATTCCACCAGTTCCTGTATCCACTATGTGGCGCTAGATAACACGTGCAAACATGCATTATGTTGCTCTATATCAGGGGTCACCAACCTTTTTGAAACTGAGAGCTACTTCAAGGGTACCGAGTAGTACGAAGGGCTACTTATTTGATACAAACTTCCTGAATAACAAAGTTGTACAGATCACCTTTTAATAATAATAATATATGTGAAGAGACTGTTTGATCACATGTCGGTTAATTATTCCTCACAATAATTATTAATATTGATTTCCACAACAATGATGGTATAGCTACACATATATATTTAAACATGCAACTTTTATTTCTGTTAATCTGTTTCAACATTTGAAAGTCAGAGGTATCACATCTCTGATATTTTTGTATCATCACATGATTAAAGCCGGTTACTTTTGCACATAGCGGCTGCTGGTGAATGATCCAGTGGTAATGTAGACATTCTGGGAAGTCTGGGTCACCTTTACATTGCGCAATGAAGCCTGCATGCCGGCCCGTCATCGCGGGAGCCCAGTCTGTTGTCACCGACACCATTTCTAATGGTACCTTTTTCTCCACGAAGAAACTAGTAAACAGTCTGGTCTATAGCCGAGCGGGGGATCCAACCCTCCGAGGCGCGCGAGCGTCTTCGGACGCCCGCGTTCAAACCTCTAGTCTGGGCCTTTTCAGTCGGATTGCGTTGCCTCGCCTCTACCCCCGCCACCCCTGAGTTGTTGCCCCGCGGCCTGTTCCGAGGATTTACGGACCTGACGACGGGGTGCGCTCGCGGCGCGCGTCTGGCACCAACGGGAAGCGCCCGCCATTCGGAACCTGAAAACCTAGTGCGACGGCCTCGTCCTGGCTGTCCGCCGTGCGCCTCTGGGTACCAAACTCTCTTATGACAAGAAATATTGTCATTTTAAAATCTACACTAATGCAAGCGTTTTTGATTAAAAAAGAACAGCAACTACAATTTTAGACGGAGCTCCATGGTGACTAGTGCTATTTTTAGAACATGCCTTGCGGGCGACTCATGTGGTACCTGCGGGCGACAGGGTGCCCGCACGGTTAATGGATCCATTAACCGTGTCTGGGTTAATGGATCCATTTAGAATTTTGTCCTCTCCTGAAATTGGCCACCTTTGTTTGTCAAGATACAAATATTTTATCTAGGTGATATGAATAATGTGGAAGTATATTATTTCATGTTATGGTATTGAGTTGTAAGAGATGAAAACTTTTATGAAATATAAAACAAGCAAATATATTTTTGTCAGATTGAAATTTCTGACGAATCAAGGTACTTCATCATATTGATAGAATATTCCAATTTGGCATTAATGGTGTTGTACCAACTAAATACTAAATCCGCTCACCCCTCCCTTTCCAAGCGTGACGGAGAACTTTGGTGGCCTTCAGACCGGTGCAACTTTCAAAGTTGCAGAATCAGTATGAGCCAAAGTACCTGCGCATGTGTGTTTCAGCAGCACATACACGTACTTTACATGAATGTACAGACAGAATACTCTGCTCTCATTATTTATAACATTAAGGTTTTATAAATCGGACTATTTTTTGGCGTATGAACATTTCCTCATTTGTACGTACGCAAACATTTAGTTTAGATTTCACGCACTGTTTTATAAATCAGGTAATTATTGTTCAACTTTCACTATTCAAAATTTCCGTAGACATCTGTACACTAGCATGACATACTCTGTTTTTAAGGTCCTGTGTACTCGTACGACAAGTCCACGTCCACCTGTATCGCCACCCATGCTTTGCTTCCTGACCCTTATGAGAATCAAAGGTAAGTAAGCTTCATACTGTACATACTGCGAGCCTGATAAATGACATCTCTCTTCCTGAATCTACCATAAGAATTAGAATGTAACTTCCATATTGTTCCTGTGTGTCAGGGTGTTCGTGGCAGACTCTATGATCAAAGGAGCAGGAGAGGGGCTGTTTGCCAAGACGGACGCTGATACTGACACCGTGATGGCTTTTTATAATGGAGTTCGCATCACACACTCTGAGGTATGATACATAGAGTTCATGTAAAGACCCGCAAGGATTGTGGAGCAGCTGAACTCATTTTGAAAAATAAAAATGACAGATTTGAATATTAGTATTATCTGAAATGTTGATAATAATTAAATAAAATCCTCATATTGAGTGTAAGTAAAGTAGTTAACAGGGGAGCAGAAACGTTTTTAATTGTTTGGTAAAATGTGAATGCAAATAGGAAAAGTTCATTGTGGTTCAGATAGATAGCTAAAAGTAATAGCTAAATGATTAAAGTTGTTAACTTAATATAATGGAGAAATGATTGAAATATTTAGCTTAAAGTAATAGATAACATTTGAAATGGTTAGCTTATAGTAATCAATAAACAATTTAAATTGTTATATAGAGCAATATACGTTTACAGTTTTGGGGGGTGGGGTGGACACCGACACAAACACTTAAAGGAATCATGGTGTTGACTGGCAGGGAGACTCTATAAATGGCCTGTTTATGCTGTCTACATATTTGACAGAACATTCCTAAAACCAAAAAGAAAACTGAAATAATCCCCTATTCATTCTCTATGTACTGTATTTATCTATGTAATCTGTCTATTTATTTATGTATTTACTTCCCAAGATCAGTCTTGTACAGCCAGGGGGAGTATTCCTCCTCTGACAGTCAAGCTGGGTCAAAACCTGTTATCCGGTGGTGACTGGACTTTAGCTGCTTGGGGGGGGGCGTGCGTGCTGTGTGTGTGTGTGTGTGTGTGTGTGTGTGTGTGTGTGTGTGTGTGTCTTTTTTTTTTTACATCACAAAAACCTGGCATTTAACAGTGTGTAGACTTTTTACATCCACTGTATATCTCAAATACAGAAATGATGGGAGTGTTAGCTCCCATCATTTCCAAAGGCTTCTCAAACAAAGATGTACATGTCCAATACAGAAATGACGGGAGCCATTTGTGGACTGTCCATCACGAATACAAGATTCAATCCAAGAGTATGAATCTAAAATGCAGAAAAGAGAGAAGCGATACCTCAATCGAACCTCAATGACACTACCGGTAACATCAGCGTGTGTATATATTGTGACTAGGGGTGTAACGGTTCACAAAATTCTCGGTTCGATTCAATACGATACAGTGGTGCCACGGTTCGGTATGTTTCGGTACGTTTTCAATCCAACAAAAAAGCAGAAATGCCAAATCCTTTGGTGAGACTCTCAAGGGGGCGTGTCTGATTTGATTCTCTGTTTGGGCTTTTGCTTTTGTTTTTCTTTGTTTTCTACGAAATCCACTCACGCACCACTTCAGTGTGAAGCTTGTTCCAGGCCTCTATGAAAAGGAAAAGACTGACCGCTCACTTCATCACGGGAGATTCATAGTCCGGTGCTGCAGACACGCCCACTCTGTGAGAGTCACACAGACACACACCTGGTGCAGGTGCTGACAGAAGCAGCAGAGTGAAGCTAGACAGGCCCAATAGTAATATCCCAGTCACCACAGAAAGGTCTACCCTCTCCCCAGACAATGGAGATATTCTCATCTTTTTGAAAACAATGTCACAGTGCGACATTGTTTTCAAAAAGATGAGAGCAGTACACAGTCACAGTAATGTAAACATTATTGTGTATTTGAATGACATAACCTGACAGGAAGTAAACATAGACCCAAGTTGTTGCCGACCAGTTCAGTTGAATCAGTGGAAGCTAGCTCACTGGCTGCTTCTTTCTTTCAGTATTGATCAAAGGACGAGGGTATCAACATACCTCATGTTGCACTTAAACTTAACACTTAAATTAACAGAATTATGTATTCTTGAATGTTATATTTTTATTTATTTATTTCATTTTGTTTCAAATCGGACATCTAAAATATTTGTGTTTTCATGTAAGACTATAGCTCAAAGTTCTTTTCTTCTCGAAGTTCTTGTGTTCTTGAAGTTCTTTAATTAATAAATGGAAAGCAAAGTTATAATTGAGTCCTCCAATTTTCTTTGTTGATCCGAAAAATGATCCGATCCGTGACTCAAGAATATATATATATATATGTATATATGTATATATATATATATATGTATATGTATGTATATGTATATATGTATATATATATATATGTATGTATATATATATATGTATATATATATATATATGTATGTATGTATGTATATATATGTATATATATATATATATATATGTATGTATGTATGTATGTATGTATGTATGTATAT